GGACCCTGGGATCATGACCTGAGCCAAAGGCAGACGCTTAACGACTCAGCCACCCAGGCGCCCCACAAATAAATAAAATCTTAAAAAAAAAAAAAAAAAAAATCCTACTTCCACTGTTGTCATCTACCTCGCTTTCAGCCACCCCCAATGGGTAACCATTTTCGGCTTCTTGTACGTGCTTTCTATGCATACTGTATATGAGCAAACAAATACATCTGATCTTATTCCCCCCATCTCTGCTTTACCACACAAAGTATCATACTATACACACAGCTCTGTATTTTCCTTTTTAACAGCAATACATCTTGGAGTTATTTTCCTGTATCAGTACACAGAGATCTTCATTCTTTTTTCTTAAAAGCTATAAAATTTCCCATTACGTAAATATTCTAGAAATTAAGTGGTCTCTTGTTTCTGGTCTTTTGTTATTACAATGTTGCAATAATGACCTTGAATATACATCATATCCTATATAAGATAAAGGCCCAGAAGAGGCTTAGTGATAGAAGGGTATGTGTATTTATAATTCTGATAAACAATGGTTCTTAACTCTTTTTTTTTTTTTTTTTAAGAGAGAGAAGGGGGGCGGGAGGAGAATCTTAAGCAGGCTCCATGCCCAGAGCAGAGCCTGACATGGGGCTTGATCTCATGATCCTGAGATCATGGCCTGAGCCGAAATCAAGAGTCTGATGCTTAACCAACTGAGCCACCCAGATGCCCCTGGTTCTTAACTTTTCTGAGGTTCTGAATCCATTCAAAAATCTGATAAAGGTTATGGACTTGGCCCCCTAAAATAATGAACAGATACACACATACACAAAATGTACATACTCTAAGTGGACCCTAGGAGCCCTCACATGAACCACTCTCTAGAGATACTGAAAGAACAGATAATTTACAAAGGGGTATCAGAGCCATAATCTCAAAATTCTGAAAACTTAAGAGACTTTACCTTGGTTGATTTCAGCTGCAGAAGGTCCCAAGCTCAAGCTCTTCTTCTGCTGAGCATTTTTGGCAAGTAGTGTGTGCTTGTCATCATTCCCTGTATCCATCTCTGAAATGGTGACAGCCAGAATCCGGCAGAAATTAGCAAGCTGCTGCTGATCAAAATTGGATACTAAAGAACTCAGATTGGGGACTTCATCTAGTCGGATCATTTCCTACAGGAGACACAAATAAAACAATCCCCATGCTCAGTTCATTCAAGACTGGATGCGTCCCTTTTCCTTGCCCTTAAGAATGGGATTTGGTAGCTAAACCACTTAGGTCCAAATCCCAGCTCTGCAAACTGCAGTTGTGTAAACATAGGTAAGTTATGGAACCTCTCTAAGTCTTTGCTCAACTGTCAAATGGGACTAAGATACCTCAGCGGACTGCTCTGAGGATTAAACCCTTTGAGCACCACTATTATTTCTCTCTCTTTGCTCATGTGGCTCATTTTGCCTATTTAAAAAAGAAAAGAAAAGAAAAGAAATGCCTACCACGCAAGTTTTATCACTCATAATTGAAGAACTGCCATTCTTGCTACAGATGTTCTCTTTTTAAGAAATAAAATATTTCAAATATAGCTGAAGGCCCCTGTGTATTCCTATTCAGTTGTATCCCCATCTCTCCCACCAGAGGTAATCATTATTTTGAACTGTGTTTATTATTCCCACATGTTCTTATATTTCCATAAAAATATATGGTAGTAAAGCAAAGGGAACCACCAACAAAACAAAAGGCAACCTACTGAATGGGAGAAGATACTTGCAAATGATTTATCTGATGACGGGCTAATCTCCAAAATATAAAGAACTCACACAATTCAACACCAAAAATAATCTGATTAAAAATGGGCAGAGGACCTGAACACTTTTCCAGAAACATACAGAAGGCCAACAAAGATGCTCAACATCACTGATCATCAGGGAAATGCAAATCAAAACAAGTGAGATATCAACTCACACCTGTCAGAATGGCTAATCTTAAAAAGACAGGAAATGACAAGCGTCAGAGAGGATATGGAAAAAAGGAACCCTCATGTACTGTTGGTACAAATGTAAACTGGTGCACCCTCTATGGAAAACAGTTGGAGGTTCCTCAAAAAATTAAAAATGGATACAATCCAGTAATCCCACCACTGGGTATTAACCCCAAGAAAACAAAAACAATAATTTGAAAAGATATATGCACCCCTACGTTTATTGCAATGTTATTTACAATAACCAAGTACAGAAGCAACCCAAGTGTTCATCCACAGATGAATGGATAAAGAAGACATGGTATACATATACAATGGAATATTATTCAGCCATAAAAAATGAGATCTTGCCACCTGCAGTGACATGGATGGAGCTAGAGAGTATAATGCCAAGTGAAATAAGTCAGAGAAAAGACAAATACTATATGATTTCAACTCATATGTGGAATCTACAAAACAAAACAAATGAACAAACAAAACAGAGAAAGACTCAAATACAGAGAACTGGTGGTTGTCAGAAGGGAGGGGATTGGGGGGGGCATGGGCAAAATAGGTCAAGGGGATTAAGAGTTACAAACTTCCAGTTATAAAATAAGTAAGTCGTGGGGATGAAAAGTACAGCATGGGGAATATAGTCAATAATACTGTAATAACAATGTGTGGTGACATGATGGTGAGCAGAGCTTAATGTATAAAATCAGTGAATTGCTATGTTGTACATGTTTAAAACATGGTATTGTTCTGTATGCACAGTGCAAATGACACATTATACCTTACTTTTTAGTTAACACTGGAGTTTATTTTTTAATTTAGGTCACTTCAGACAAGAGAAAGTTAGTACTTTTTTTTTTAAAACATTTATTTTTAAGTAGGCTTTAGGCCCAATGTGGATCTTGAACTCACGACCCCGATATCAAGAGTCACATGCCCTACTGACTGAGCCAGCCAGGCACCCCTCAACACTGGGATTTAACTACTCTGATAGAAGTAGCTCTAATTCATTCATTTTCCACTGCTTTACTCCAGAATGTATTTAACCATACATACATATATATGTACGTATGTTTAGGTGGACTGTAATTTTTCATTATTAAACACTGTTGCAGTGACCATTCCTATAGGTGTCTCCCTGTGTATGTGCACACGTAACCAATTATCTAAACTAAGCAATAGCAGGCGTCTTTTTTTTACTTTAACAGGAATATTTCCAAAGTTTTAACATTAACTTTAATGTCTGCTGTAAGTTTTGATATCCTCTATCAAGTTAAGAACTTTCCTTTTGGCGCCTGGGTGGCTCAGTTGGTTGGGCGACTGCCTTCGGCTCAGGTCATGATCCTGGAGTCCCGGGATCGAGTCCCGCATCGGGCTCCCTGCT